GTCGCTGCTGCTGCTGCTGCTGCTGCAGTTAGTGCAGCAGTAACAAGTGCAGCAGCAACAAGTGCAGCAGCAACAAGTGCAGCAGCAGTAAGTGTAGCAGCGGCAAGTGCAGCAGCAGCTACCGCTGCTGCTGCTGCTGGTGCTGCAAAATACTGCTGGAGTCCAACAGCAAACGCTGCTAGCTACTGCTGTTGCTGTTACTGCTGCACGGCTTGCTGCTGGAGCTAGAGATACTGCTGCAGCAGCAGCAGCAGCTGTTGCCGCTGGAAGAGCAGCAACTGAATGCTGCAGCAGCAGCAGCAGCAAGTGCAGCAACGCGTTAGTAGTCCAGGGGTAGGATGCAACCCTCCCAAGGTTGCGACCCGGGTTCGAGTCCCGGCTGACGCATTTTCATATTAATTAATTTCTAAGTTTATTTCGTTTTATTATTACATTCAATTACAATTAAAAGAAAAAAACATAAAATTAATTTAATTAATACTAACTCAAGAATAGAGACGAGCTTAATTCTTGCTGCTGGGGCTTCTCTTTACATTGAGCTGCCTATACACCTCAAATGCAGCTCGAGCACTCTCTTTTCAGGCACCAAGTGTACGTACACATCAAAAACAACTAAATAATCGTGAATATAAATACTTCCAAAGGAATTCTATTCAAATAAAAGCTGCCTATACACCTGAATTTCATTGCTACAAATAATCTTCTCTGGCGGAGTGTACAGGCAGCTCATGAAATCAAGTGTATAGGCAGCTGATAACTTGGGGTGTATAGGCAGCTGATGAATTTGGGTGTATAGGCAGCTACTGAGTTTAAAGATAGATAGAGAGACAGCAAGAAATAATCAAAGTGTTTATAGACAGAGAAACACATTTGACTAACTCTACGACCCACTAAACCCTAAACCCTAAACCCTAACCTCAAGAATGATGCGTATGAAGATGCAGCATTTATATGAGGGTTTAGGGTTTACTATACATACACACCCCCTATAGAGGCCTCATGTATCTTACCCCGCGTAGTATTTAGGGTTTGGGGTTTAGGGTTTAGGGTTTGCATAGTGCATTTTGTGCGCATACCCTAAAAAGCAGTATCAGCACAAATGCACGAATAAATTATTTAAACTAGCAGCAGCAGCAGCAGCAGCAGCAGAAGGAGCAGAAGGAGCAGGAGCAGCAGCAGCAATAAATAAAAAGCAGCAAACAAAGCAATAGGAAGAAACCAAATAAGAAAAACAAGACAGATAAAATAAAGCAGCAAAAGGGGCCGCGAAGCCGTATTTACCGCCTAGGGTTTAGGGTTTAGGGTTTAGGGTTTAGGGTTTAGGAGTGCTTTCGTTTAACAGTGCGTGTAGCAGGCAGCAAGAAAAAGGTTTTAATATAGCTCTCCTGAGGCTGGTAATGGGTAAGAAAAAATATAAATTTTATGAATAAACAATTTTAATTAAAACAAAATTAAATAAACAGAAATAAAAAAGAAGCAAACAAAGAAGAAAAACAGAGAAGGGGCATGAGCGGCTTTTGGAGGAGTAGAAGCAGAGCTAGAAAAATTAGGGTTTAGGGTTTAGGGTTTAGGGTTTAGGGTTTATCATTCAAACAATAAAAAAAACAATAGAAAGACATACAGAAGGTAGGAAACTGTAGTAAACCCTCAAGCAGAAGCATCAGCACTTAGGGGGCGAGCGCCACGAAACCCTAAACCCTAAACCCTAAACCCTAGACCCTAAACCCTAAATCGCAGTCTCTTGAAGCCGTTTAAGGTGTTTTTATGATGAATTTCATAAATTGGGTTTAATTAAATGCAATAAAAGTAAAAAAAGAATTAATTTATGTTGGAATCGCACGAGCCCTGCAGCCGCCGAGGCCCCAAGTTCAGGTGTATATACACCTCAGTTCTGTTTTCTTTTTCTAGCTCTTCTCTTTATTGCTACGCATATAATTTTTTTTGTGGGGTTTAATGCGAAGCTGACCTGAAGGCGTAGCGGTGCGACGGGGGGGAGACACTGCAGCAGACTGTGAGGGTTTAGGGTTTGGGGTTTAGGGTTTAGGGTTTAGGGTTTAGGGTTTTAGGGTTTACAGGACGCCCTTGACGCCCCTACGTAGCACACAGAAACCTCCACATCGCATATCTTTTGCAGAAGGCGGCTCTCTCCACTTCGAATTCCCAAACCCTAAACCCTAAACCCTAAACCCTAAACCCTAATCCTCACAAAGCCCTGAGGCTGGTGGTTTGTCCTCGCGGTCAAGTCGAGGGCTCCCAGCCTCTTGGTGTCGCTCATGGCCCTGTGACGGAGGGTTTAGGGTTTAGGGTTTAGGGTTTAGGGTTTAGGGTTTAGGGATGGTTGAGGAAGCCTCCGTATACCAGGGGCTTTGGCCCTTGGGCATCGCTATCATTTTCTGCGGGTCTCTTGCAGGAGCGGCTGGAGGTATAAACCCTAAACCCTAAACCCTAAACCCTAAACCCTAATAATCATAATGGCTGAACTGACAGAGGGGCAGTAATATAAGAACCGTAGCGCGTGAGGGTTTGAGGGTTTAGGGTTTAGGAACGTTGATGAGGGTTTGCGTATTAGGGTTTATTAGGGTTTATTAGGGTTTATTAGGGTTTGTGCATGCAGATACAATGGTGCGAATGTCTTATAGCTCTGCGGGGCCGGAGCCCTCTACTAAACAAATGCTGAAAAATCCTATGTTTGTAGTAGGGATGATATTAACAACAGCAGTAGATGCTGCCTGTACACTCGGCGCTCTCACCTTTGCCCCCTCCGTAAACCCTAAACCCTAAACCCTAATTCACTATTTTCATTTTCTGTATCCACTGCTGAAAATTGCCGCGTTTTGAGGGTTTAGGGTTTAGGGTTTCTGTGTGTATGTTCGTACGCATTCTTTCGGGTTTATAAGGGTTAATTAGGGTTTTTAAGGGTTTATTAGGGTTTAGGGTTTAGGGTTTCTGTTGGTGTGCATTTAAACGGTGCTTCCAGGCGTTAATAAGGGTTTATAATAGTTTAGGGTTTATATTAATTAAGGGTTTATAATAAATAAGGGTTTAGGGTTTTAGGGTTTCTAATTAATGAGGGTTTATAAACATGTGGGTTTATAATAATCAAGCGGATAGTAAATAAATGCACAAATAAATAAATAAACACATAAATAATTAATATAAATATAATTAATATAATTAATATAATTAATATAATTAATATAATTAATATAAATAATATAAATTATCAGTGTTTATAAGAAGGGTTTCTACAACTTGTTTTATTATTATTTTATTTTTTGTTTGCAGTCGATGGCAGCTCCTGTTTAAAATAAATAAATAAAATAAATAAATAAATAAATAAATAATATAAATAAATAAAATAAATAATATAAATAAATAAACAAAATAAATGAGAAATAACAAACAAATATATTATTTGTTATATATATATAAACAAATAATATAAATAAACAAATAATATAAACAAATAATATGAACAAATAATATAAAAACAAATACTATAAAAAACAAATAACATAAACAAACAAACAATATAAAAGACAAATCCTATAAAAGATAAATAATATAAAGTTATTTGTTTGTTGTTTTGTTGCGTGCAGTCTATGGTCACGCCCTTTGCGGGTGTACACATCTTCTGGGCTGTATTATTATCACATTTTTGGTTGCGAGAGAGTGTGGGGCGTTGGGAGGTGTTGGGATCGAGTTGTGTGATCAGCGGCGTTTTATTATTAGTATTATTCGCCGGCAAGGAGACAGAATTAAACATGCTGCAGCAGTTCGCACAAGCTGCTGCTGCGCCTCTACCCCTCATCTATATTGCTTTATCAGCTGCTGCTGCTCTCACTCTCATCATTCTTAGTCAAAAACTATATCCTTGCTCTTTAGGATCTTGGGAGCTACCTGTTCAAGTAAGCTCTATGGATTAGGGTTTACGGTTTAGTGTTTAGGGTTTAGGGTTTAGGGTTTAGGGTTTAGTTAGTGTTTAGGGTTTTGTTTCTACGGTTTACGGTTCAGGGTTTAATGCCTAAGAAATCCTTCTAGTCTCTAGTCTCTAGGGTTTAGGGTTTAGGGTTTAGGGTTTAGGGTTTAGGGTTTAGGGTTTAGGGTTTAGGGTTTGAGGGAGAAGGGCTCCTTAGCCACCGTCTCTGAAGATGCAAGAGAAGGTCTAGGGTTTAGAGTTTAGTGTGCAGCGTTTGTCTCTGGCGTTGGCTTCTGGGGTATTTGGGGGCAACACAAATGTCTCTGCGAAGGTTTTAACAATCGCAGCAACTCAGTTATTTAAAGGAGACTTATCTATTTTGTCGAGGTATATTTAATTAATTAATTAATTAATTAATTAATTGTTTATTTATTGTTTGTTTGTTTGTTTATTTAGTTGGTTGGTTGTTTACTTCTTTTGCGTTTGTTTGGTTTGTTCGTTAATTAATTAATTTATTTATTTAATTAATTTGTCTGTCTCCTTTGATTTGTTTATTTGTCTCCTTTGACCAATTAATTAATTTGTTTATTTGTTTAATTATTTTATTTAACCCATATCATTTTAATTTTTTTATGTGTCTCCTTTAAATAAACAAATAAATAAACAAATATAATTAATTAATTTATTAATAAATTAATTAATTAATTAATTAATTAATTAATTTATTTATTTATCTGTCTCCTTTTTGCGTTTAGCTGGGAGGCTTATGTTGTCTTCTTCGCAACCGTCTCGTTGGCGTTACTACAGTTGTTGTTTTTAAATACAGCACTCCGAAAGTAAACCCTAAACCCTAAACCCTAAACCCTAATGGGGAGGATGTGGAGGTTGGTGAGGGTTTGGGTGGGTAGATGATTTCCTGCGAATTAGGGTTTGTGGTTTGTGACTTAAGTATGAGGGTTTATGCTTTAGGGTTTAGGGTTTAGGGTTTGTTGTTTTTTAGGGTTTAGGGTTTAGGGTTTAGGGTTTGTATTTTAGGGGTTGTGGTTTAGAGTTTAGGGTTTTGTTGTTTGTGTGAAGTGTGCTATATATTGCAATGTTAGTGGTTAATGTTTGATTGTTTATATATGATGGTTTAGGGTTTAGGGTTTAGGGTTTGTTATATATATAAAAGTATATATATATGCATTTAAAGGCATAGATTTGCACGTTTTTTTTGTACAATAAATATACGGTGGTTTAGGGTTTAGGGTTTGTGGTTTGTGGTTTAGATTTGAGGCAATATATGTAATCCCAACTACAAATAGTTGTTTAGTAGCAGAGGGCATCGTAGGGGCTATCATGCTGCTGAAGGAGACACCCTCTTCTTGGGTTTGCTTTCTCTTCGGCTTGCTGCTCTGTCTCCTCGGCATCCTTGTCCTCACAATTAAACATAAAACCCTACCCACCATTCAAAAAAACAACCTTGAACAAGTATGTTTAGGGTTTAGGGTTTAGGTTTTAGGGTTTAGGGTTTAGGGGCTTTAGGGTTTAGGGTTTAGGGATTTCAGGGGATAGGGTTTGGGTTTTAGGGATGGTGGGGATAGGGTTTAGGGTTTTAGGGTTTAGGGTTTTAGGGGCTTATAGGAGGGTTTACCAGGGGATACGGTTTATATAGGGGTTTAGGGTTTAGGAGTTAGGTTGAAGGGGTTAGGGTTTAGGGTTTAGGGTTAGGGTTTAGGGTTTAGGGTTTAGGGTTTAGGGTTTGTGCTGCAGCCACCACGGCCCATTGAAGAACCTCCCGAATCGTACAGGTCTTGGGCCCCTTCGAGTGAAGCAATTTCTATCCCTCCTAGGTAAACCCTAAACCCTAAACCCTAAACCCTAAACCCCAGTTGAGACGGCAGGGGGTGAGGCGTCTGATTCTGCTGCTACGCCAGCTGTTGCAGCAGCAGCGGCTGCTGCTGTTGCTGCTGCCGCTGCTACCGACGCCCGTCTTGCCTGTATCTCTGTGCTGCTATTGCTGCTGCTGCTGCTGCTGCTGCTGCTGCTGCTGCTGCTGCTGCTGCTGCTGCTGCTGCTGCTGCAGGTTGACGGAGTTCTTCCCCAGCCCCACAGCTATCCTAACTGCGCATGCAGTGCAGCAAATATTTCCACCTCTGAGCTCCAAGACCCGTAATAAACCCTAAACCCTAAACCCTAAACCCTAAACCCTAAGGCTTAATACGGGCTGCCATAGCAGGAGGAGAGCAGCAGCGGTGACGGCAGCTGCAACAGCTGCTGCTGCAGCAGCAGCAGCAGCAGCACCACCACCACCCCCTGTAGCGCCAGCAGCAGCAGCAGGAGGAGGAGGAGGATTGTGTTTTGTTGTTTGTTTGTGCAGCTTCTTTAGTAGACCCTACGATATCAGATATGACATCAGCAGCACCTTTGGGGGCCCCTGGGGGCCCCCAGGGTTTGTCTATATATTCAAAGCTGGGCCCGAATGATGCTGAAGGAGACAAAGCATTAGCTATCTCCGTTGGATGTGGAGACAGCTGCTGCAGCGGGCAGCAGCAGCAGCAGCAGCAACAGCAGCAGCAGCAGCAGCTGCAGCTGCTGCTGCAGCAGCAAGCTGCTGGAGAGAGCAGCGACAGTACCAGCGACCGCAGCAACAGACGCTTCAGCTCCCCTCTGCCGCAGCAAGAAACAGCAGCAGCAGCAGCAGCTGCTGCTGCTTCTTCAGCCCCAGAAACAGCAACAGCAGCAGCAGCAGCAGAAAGCAGCAGCAGACGGGCGGGGGTTACAGGGAGCAGCCGTAGCGCCTCGCCTACTCCTAGGGGGGCCCCTCGGGGCCCCTATTCAAGGCGTTCGCATGCAGCAGCAGCAACAGCAGCAGATGCAGCAGCAACAGCAGCAGGAAGGAAAGAGGCAGCAGCAGCGAAAGCCGCAGGAACACGGGCGTTGAGGGCAGCACCTGCAGTAAGAGCAGCACCTACAGAAGTAGCAGCAACACCACGAGCAGCAGCAGCAGCAGCAGCAGCAGCATCTACTCTTTCGGCAGGTGGAGACCCTTCAGTTCAGCAGCAGCAGCAGCAGCACGAGGAGGATTTAAGAGGAGCTGCTGTACCAGCAGCTGCTGCTGATGCGGTGTATCTACGTAGCAGCAGCGGCAGCATCAGCCGCAAAAGCAGCAGCAGCAGCATCATTAGGGGCCCCGAAAGGTTTCCCTAGTCTGCATGCTTCTCCAGGGGCCCTTGTTGAGGGGCCCCCCTGTACCCTTTTAGGGGGCCCCCCTGTACCCTTTTAGGGGGCCCCCCTGTACCCTTTTAGGGGGCCCCCCTGTACCCTTTTAGGGGGCCCCTTGTACCCTTATAGGCGGGCCCCCTGTACCCTTATAGGGGGCCCCTTGTACCCTTATAGGGGGCCCCCTGTACCCTTATAGGGGGCCCCTTGTACCCTTATAGGGGGGCCCCCTGTACCCTACCAAGGAAGGGGCCCCTACAGGTGGAAGAGGGGCCCCCCGAAGGGGATAGGGGCCCCCATCCCCTCCCTCTTAATTATTTAGGGCTCTCTAAAGGGGGGCCCCCTTCGTTTTCTTTCTTTTCAAAATGCTGCTAGATAAATACTACGAAAGTAGACGAGGGCCCCTTAGGGGGCCCCCTAACTATAACCCTTTGAAGGACCCTCTTAGGAGGGGGCCCCCTTAAAGGGCCCCTGTAGGGGGTCTCCTTAGGGGACCCCCTTAAGAGAGCGTCTCCTGGAGGGGGCCCCCCTGGGGGGCCCCTTAAGAGGGTGTCTCCTCGAGGGGGCCCCTTTTAGGGGGCCTCCTTAAGAGGGTGTCTCCTGTTTAGGGGCCCCCTTTGAGGGGGCCCCTAAACAGGGGGGCCCCCTAAAGAAGAGGTGTTGAAGTGGGGGCCCCCCTAAAGGGTGCCCTAAACCCCTCAAGGCAGGGGGCCCCCTTTAGGGAGGCCCCCTTCAAGGGGGTGAGGGGGGCCCCCTATATCTTTCTGGGGGTATTACTTAGCAGGGTCTAAAGGTTGAGGGGGGGGCCCCCTTAAAGGGGGCCCCCCCCTTCATTCAAAGGGGGCCCCCCCCTTAAAGGGGGCCCCCCTCCTGTGAGGGTTTAGGGGGTTTTGTTGTTTTTAGGGTTTTGTTTGTGCGGTGTATATACAGCAGAACTTTTTTGGAGTTATTTAAATACACTTGTTTTTTACTCAGCGTCTTTTTCTCTATTTGTTTGTTCTCTATCCTTCGGGTCTTTGCTGCATGCATGCAAATATATTATAAGTGTATATATATATATATATATGTATGTATTTATAATAATAATTAATAATAAAGAATATATTATAGCCCTAAAGAGAAGCATTAACGAAGACGAACAAAGAAAAGATAAAATGCAGAAAGGAGACAGACAAGAGACAAAAAATAATAATAAATAAATAAAATAAATAAATATAAATAAATAAATAAATATATATATAATATATATATGAATATATAAGCACCCATGCATACAGACAAAACAATCACAGGGAGAAATAAAACAAATAAACAAAACAAATAAACAAAAACAAACAAAACAAAAAGAAAGCAAAACAAATAAACAAACAAATAAACAAACAAATAAACAAACAAATAAACAAACAAAACAAACAAACAAATAAACAAACAAATAAACAAACAAATAAACAAACAAAACAAACAAATAAACAAACAAAACAAACAAACAAATAAACAGCAAACAAACAAAACAAACAAATACACAAAATCTGCACCACAACCAAAACAAACAAAACAAATAAACAAATAAACAAACAAATAAAGAAACAAACAAACAAACAAAACAAATAAATAAATAAACAAATACACACCGATAGAAGTCAGTAATATATAAAAATATTTGCATGCAGTTTTACACCTTCAGGGCTTAACTATATATATATATATATATTATAAAGAAAATTAGACATGCACATATATATATATATATTATATAGATAATAATACATATATATATATATATATATATATATGCGCGTGCGTGTGTGTAGACTATATTATGCTATGCTATGAATATATATATATATATATATGTGTGTATATGTATATGTATATGTATATGTATATGTATATGTATATGTATATACATATATATATATATATATATATATATACTGATAAAATATTTACGTGTGAATACAAAAGTGCGGTTGCATGCGGAGGAGACAGTAAATTGGAGTGTATAGGCAGCTCAAGCAACTGTCTCCTTTCTCTAAAATAAATATCTTTTTACTTTTATTTATGCTGACTCGGTTTGATTGTGTAGAATGCACTGTTGAAAAAAACAAAAAAGGTTTAGAGAGAGAAAATTCAGTGGCGCTGCTGCTGCTGCTGCTGCTGCAGCTGCCGGTGCTGCTGCTCGTGCTGCTGCTCGTGCTGCTGTTGCTGCTGCTGCATCGGCAGCAGCAGGCATAAGATACCCTCGCTACTGTTACTGCTAAACTGTATGGAGCTGCAGCGGCTCTTGCAGCAGTACCTACTGCTGCTGCAGCAGCAACAGCAGCAGCAGCTGTTGCTGCTGCTGCTGCAGCAACAGCAGGTGTTGCTGCTGCTGTTGCTGTTGCGGCTGCCATTCGATATTGCTATATATATGGCGATGTCTTCATAAGCCTAAATGTAAGGCTGCTGCTGCTGTTACTACTGCTGCAGTTGTTGCTGCTGCTGTTGCTTCTGCTGATGCTGCTGTCTCTGCTGCTGTTGTTGCTGCTGCATTAATTATCTTTTTTTTGTGATGCTGCTTTGCGCTGCTGCGCATTCTGTTTGCTGCTGCTGCTGCTAATAGCTCTATATGCAGTGAGGCCGACGAGGAACAGCAGTAGCAGCAGCAGCAGCGCAGCAGCTAGCAGCAGCAGGTTGAGGCAGCAAACTCTTATCTTCATCCGCTCAGCAGCAAGTATAGAGTCAGAGAAGTAATACAGAGCATTTAATGTTGCTGTTATTTCGTTTCGTTCCAAATGCGTAAAAGAAGAGCCTTCTGTCACTGCCTGCAGCAGCAGCAACAGCAGCAGCAGCAGCAACAGCAGCGGTTGTTTGTGGCATGCTTAAGACCCACTCCCATGAGCAGCAGCAACAGCAGCAGCAGCAACAGCAGCAGCACCTACAACAGCAGCAGCAGCAAAACCCCAACAGCAGCCCCCACACCACCCACAGCAACACCACCCACAGCAGCAGCAGCAGCACCACCACCACCACCCACAGCAGCAGCAGCAGCACCACCACCCACAGCAGCAGCAGCAGCAGCAGCAGCAGCAGCAGCAGGAGTATTTACCTTTGCAGCAAGTCTAAGAGCAGTAAGTTTAATTGTACCGTGCAGCACACATTTTTCGCAGGAGACGCAGCGCAGCAGCGACTCAATGCCTTCAGCTGTCTCTAAGAAAGCTAGGTTGCTGCAGCAAACAAATAATAATAATAATTATATTTATATTTATATTTATATTTGTTTAGCTGTTTATAAGCAATATATACAGTATAGAATGCAACTGTCAAACAAATGCATATACTATTGTTAGCAAAAGAAACAGGTGCAGCACAAATAATAACAACACAAACTGCTGCAGCAGCAGCAGCAATAATAGCAGCAGCAGCAGCAAGAATAGCAGCAGCAGTAGCGAGAATAGCAGCACAATGAGCAGCGAGTATAGCAGCAGCAGCACCAACACCAAAACCAAGGATAACAGCAGCAACAGGAGCAGCAGCAAGAATATTAGTAGCAGCAGCAGCAGCAAGAAAAGCAGCAGGACAAGAGCACCACCATCAGCAGCAGCAGCAACAGCAGCAGCAGCAGCAGCAGACCTATTTCGTTTGAAGAGAGGCTGTTGATAAGTGCTGCTGCAAGTAGATAGCTGCGAGACGGTTGCAGTCAGTACACCCAGCAGCTCCGCCCTAGCAGATAAATCATCTGAACTATTACCTGCAGCAGCAGCAGCAGCAGCAGCAGCAGCAACAGCAGGAGAAGGATCGGTATTAGCAGAAAACCAGAAGCAGAAACAGCACCACCAGCAGCAGCAAGAATAATACATGCAGCAGCTGCTGAAGCAGCAGCAGCCGTAATAGTATTAGCAGCAGCACTAACAGAGGCAACAGCAACAGCAACATTAACAGCAGATGCAGCAACACAAGCAGCAAGGGATCTGTTTCTAACTCCAGCAAGCCGTCCCAAACACAGCAGCAACAGCAGCAACAACAGCAGCAGCAGCAACAACAGCAGCAACAACAGAAGCAATAACAGCAGCAGCAGCAACAACAACAGCAGCAACAAGAGCAGCAGCAGCAGCAAAGGACCTGTCTCGCAGCTGCACTCCTGCAGCACATGTGTAAGAGAGCAAACACCCTTCAGCAGCAACGAGAAGGCAAACAGCAGGTTTTGCTGCCGCTCAGGATAAGCTGCGAAGCGGTCTAAGAAGAAGGAGACAGAAGGAGCTGGGGTAGGGGGAGCAGGAGTCTCCAAATCCTCGTGCTGCAGCAGCTGCTGCTGCTGCTGCTGCTGCAGCTGCAGCTGCTCCTGCTGCTGCTGATAATGCATCGACAAATCTGAATAGAAATACTCTGCAGCAAGCGCAGATATGTTAGATTGCATGCCTGATAGTATTAGAGACAGTTTTGCTGCGTCTCCGCAAGTCTTAATATCCTGCTGCTGCTGCTGCTGCTGCTGCAGCTCCTGCTGCTGCAACCGATATAGCTGCTGCTGCAGGGCCCCCCAAATAGGGCCCCCTTGATATTCTGTATAGCCTGGAGGGTTGCGCAGCAAATCAACATACACCAGAGTCTCTGTTGAATCTTCTGCTGCTTCGCCTCTGTTGCTGTTGCTGCTGCTGCTGCTGCTGCTGCTGCTGCTGTTGCTGTTGCTGTTGCTGCTGCTGCTGCTCGCAGGCCCGTTCGGACCCGCTGAAGTCTCCTTCCGATAGAATGAAGCTGCATCAACAGCAGCAGCACAAACGAAGCACATGCCTAACACTGCCTTTTACTGCAGCAGCAGCAGAAGCAGCAAAAGCTGCTGCAGCAGCAATTACCTCACTACTGCTGAGCACCACAATAGCTGCAGCAGCAAATGAAGCAGCAGCAACAGCAGCAACACCATCGACAGCAGCAGCAACAGCATCAAAACCCTGAACAGCAGCAGCATCAACAGCAGCTTTAGCAGCAGCAACAGCATCAACAGCAACAGCACCAAAACCATCAACAGCAGCAGCATCAACAGCAGCAGCAGCAGCAGCAGCAGCAGCTCACCTGCATGCTTTCTATCGACGAAATCTTCTCTCGGCTTCTGTCTCCAAGACAAGGGTATCTCTTCTTCGCTGCACATGCAAAGGCCGCACTTCTCCGGGGAGACGCACTTTGCTTCTTCAAGATCAGCAGCAAACATTGCTGCTGCTGCTGCTGCTGCTCCCCCAGTGTGGGGTCCCCGACCTCGACCTGCTGCTGCTGCTGCTGCTGCTGCTGCTGCAAAAGTAGATTCAGGAAACACGCTGCTAGGGGTTAGTTGGGTCTGCTGCTGCTGCTGCTGCTGCAGAAGAAGCTGCTGCTGCTGCTGCTGCAGCTGCTGATCAGACAGCAGCAAAGAAGCCCTATGACAGCTCTTTTGTTTTATATTTAGTTTAAATATCCTGAAGAACGTTCGTCTCTTCAGCTGCTGCAGCAGCGGATGCAGCAAACGCGCGTCTTCTACCAGCAGATGCATGCTTGGGGTGTGGAGGCACCTAAACAGCAAACAAACACATACTCCTGCTGCTGCTGCTGCTGCTGTTGCTGCTGCTGCTTCTGTTGCTGCTGCTCCTTATGTAAGGACTCGTACTGCTACTCCTACTGCTGCTGCTGAGGTTGTTCTGCTGCTGGTTTTGTTGCTTTTGCTGCGGTTTCTCCTGCACTGCATACTGTTGCTGTTGCTGCTGCTGCTGCTGCTGCTGCTGCTGCTGCTGCTGCTGCTGCTGCTGCTGCTGCTGCTTACTCTGGGAAGTCTTCATCAGGAATAGAAAGACGCCTCAGTCTAAGCGACTCGGGCAGAAGTGCAAAAAGGTTTACGAGCTGCTGCGGGGGTGCTGCTAATGTGTTGACAATTTTACGCTGCGCCGCAGCAGCAGCAGCTGCTGCTGCTGCTGCTGCATGCCCGTAGACAGTTCCTGCTGCTGATGCTGCAGCAGTAGCAGCAGAACTCGTAAAGCCAACGCCAAAAGATACTGTACCCGCATCCAGCAGCAAAACGCTGCAGCAGCAGCAAAGTGCTGCTGCTGCTACAACAACAGCAAGCTGCTTACACCTGAACTCCATCACTGTAGCAGCAGCAGCAGCAGCAAGAGCAGCAACAGCCAAGTCTCGTCAGTGCTGCCTCTTCAACGTGTGGGCAAGGATGCAGCTCCTGCTGCTGCTGTTGCTGCTAATACCGCTGCTGCTGTTGCTGCTGCTTGCTGCGGTCCTGCAGCTGCTGTAGATAAGCAAATATATGCCGGTGGCAACTGCTGCTGCTGCTGCTGCAGTTGCTACTTTTGCTGGGGCTGCGGCAGCCACGCACTAAAGCCGCGAGCAAACTTTCTGCTGCTGCTGCGGCTGCTGCTGCTGTCCAGCTGCTGGAGTCGCTGCTGCTTGCTTTGCTGCTGCTGCTGCCTCTGAAAGAACGGAGGAGCTTCAGCAAAGGGCATGCAGCTCGAGAGGAGAGAAAGGGCTCTTTCTGTCTCGAACTGCTGCTGCTGCTGCTGCTGTGGCTTTGCTGCTGCTGCTGCTGCTGCTGCTTCTGCGGCAGCGGTTGCTACTACAGCAGCAGCAAGACAAGAAGAAGAAGCAGAGACAGAGCTCAGAGGAGAGAGGAGGCCTCAGAGGGCAGAGGAGACAGCGGGAGACAAAGGGGCCGGTGTTGAGTCGGTGCCAGCAGCAGCAGCCGCAGCAGCAGCAGCAGCAGCAGCAGGAGGGATCCCGAAGCAGCAAATAAAGGCTACTAATTACAAGAGCTAACTCGGCAAAATAAGCAAAAAGAACAAAACGAGTTGTCGCGCAAACAGCCTCCACAAAGTGTCGCTGCAGCAGCAGCAGCAGCAGCAGCAGCAGCCACAGCCGCAGCAGCAGCAGCAGCAGCTGCTGCTGCAGGACCTTGACTTGCTGTGTTAACACCCCCCAGCTGTTTTTCTCTTAATAAAACTTTAGCAGAATCTTTTTTACTGCTTATTAGACGGCTGTCGTTGCTGTTGCTGCATTTGTTGCTACAGTTTCTGATAGCACAGCCGCTGCTGCTGCTGCTGCTGCTGCTGCTGCAGTTCGTGCTGCTGGTGCTGCTGCTGTTGAGTAGCTGGAGGCGCTACTGCTGGTGTCTTATTTATTTTTAATTGAAATTTATAAGACAGTAATGAGTTCAGCTTAAGCTCGTGCTAGTTTATGTTAAAGCAGCAGCAGCAGCTGCTGCTGCTGCTCCTGTTGCGCTGCTGCTCCTGGTGCAGCTGCTCGCGCTTGCAGCTGCCACAGGTGTTGGTGCTGCTGCAGCAGAGCCCGTGATGCTACCAGGCTGTTGCTGCTGCTACATTTGCTGCAGCAGCAGCGTAGCCTACCACGAGGTTGCTGCAGCAGAGCTGTGCGCTGCTGTTGCTGTTGCTGCTGTTGCTGCCGTAGCCGCTGGTGCTGCTGTTGTTGTTGTTGCTGCTGCTGGTCTTGCTGCGGCTGTTGCTGTCCCACTGCTGCTGCTGCTGCTGCTGCTGACGTGAGGAGCATCTGCATTATTATATGTATTATTACTTATAGCAGAAGCAGCAGCTTCTAAAGCTGCACGTACACCTCAACTCCCGAAGCAGCATAGCCAGCAGCAGAAGCAGCAGCAGCTGCTGCTGCTGTTAATTCGAATTGTTATTGTAACGGCAGCAACAGCAAACCGGTTGCTACAGCGGTCAACTAATCTGCAGCAGCAGCAGCAGCAACTAATCTGCAGCAGCAGCAGTAGCAACTAATCTGCAGCAGTAGCAGTAGCAAATAGTCTGCAGCACCAGCAGCCGCAAAGGATCAGACTAGCTGCTTCTATCTAGGCATCAGTTCACCTGCTGCTGCTGCAGCAGCAAAAATGCAGCTCTTGCTGCAGCGGCAAACTGTTGGTGCTGCTGCAGCAGATAACTGTTTCTGCTGCTGCAGCAGCAAGACGCAGGTTTTGCTGGAGCAGCAAAACTGCTGCTGTTGCTGGAGTAGCAAAACTGCTGCTGCTGCAGCAGCAGCAGAATGCAGCTGTTGCTGCAGCAGCAACCTGTTGCTGTTGCTGCAGCAGCAGCAGCAAACTAAAAGTCGAACAAATCGGCAGCAAAAGATGTGCTGTTCGATCCCGTCTCCCAAGCTGCTTCTGTTGCTGCTGAAGGTGCCTTGCTGCGCTGCTTCTGCTGCTTCTGCTGCTGCTGCTGCTGCGGCGGCGGCGGCGGCGGCGACGGTGGCGACGCAGCAGCAGCAGCAGGAGATCCTTGCTGCGACTCAAGAGAGGAAGGGCTCCACAGATCTGCAATATCTGTATGCTGCTGCTGTTCTTGCTGCTGCTTCTCTTGCTGCTGCTGCTGCTGCTGCTGCTGCTTGTTGGAGTGTGATCGAGGAGCTGCTGCTTTGGCTGCAGTAGATTTAGATTTTGCTGCTGCAGCTGGTTTAGTTTTGTTACTGCTGCTGCCGTGCTGCTGCTGCTGTTGCTGTTGCTGTTGCTGTTTCTTCTTCTGTTGTTGCTGTTTCTGCTGCTGCCGCCTTTTGTGCTTGCTTTGCAGCTGCTGCTGCTGCTGCTCCTCCTCCTCCTCATCAGCGCTGTGCTGCTGCTGCTGCTGCTGCTGCTCTTGCTGCTGCTGCCTTCGTTTCGACTCAAGCACTGCATCAGCTTGCTCGCGTTGTTGCTGCTCTTCTTGTAGCAGCTGCTGCTGCTGCTCATGCTGCTGCTGCTGCTCTTGCTGCTGCTGTTGTTCATGCTGCTGCTGCTGTTGCTCCTCGCGCTGCTGCTGCAGCTGCTGCTCATCTAGCTGTTGCTGCTGCTGCTGGTTCCGTCGTCTCTTCTGCTCTACCTGATGCTGTTCTGTCTGCGGCTGCTGTTGCTCTTGCTGCTGCTGCTGTTGCTGGCGTTCCTCTTGCTGCTGCTGTTCCTGCTGCTGGCGTTCCTCTTGCTGCTGCTGCTGCTGCTGCTGCTGCTGGCGTTCCTCTTGCTGCAGCTGCTGCTGCTCTTGTTGGTGCTGATGCCTTTGTCTGCTGCTGCTTACCGAAGTATGTGCTGCAGCAGCAGCAAATCCATTGAAGCTGCTGCGCCTTGCTGCAGCAGCAGCACCGGTTGCTGCTGCTGAAGGCAGCAGCGCATGCGCGGCAGCAGCAGCAGCAGCGTCCGCAGAGTGTGGCTGTGCTGCTGCTGCTGTTGACTTATCCCTTGTGCTGCTGCTACTGCTGCTGGTTGCGCTCTTTCGATTAGCAGCAGCAGCAGCTCCAGCAGCAGCAGCATTGCTGCTGCTGCTGCTCTTATTTCTAGGAGCAGCAGCAGCAAGCAGCAGCTGCTGCTCTTCGCTGCCAATCCACTCCCCGCCGGAGGCCCTTACATCTTCCTTCAGGTGTCTCTCGAGCAGCAGCAAATGCTGCTGCGATAGGAAGCGCCGCTGCAGCAGCGGGGCAGCAGCAGCAAACCAGCTGCAGGAGTTGCTGCTGCTGCTGCTGCCAAGCACCAGCAACGCACGCCTTCTGGATTTTCGTGCTGCTGCTGCTGCATCACGCAGCGCAGCAATTAGCTGCTGCTGCTGCTGGTGCGTCAGCAAAACTCCTAATCGGCTTGTAGCTATATGCATAAACTTAGCTATGTCCTGCTGCACTTGCTGCTTCGTTTGTTCTGCTGTTGCTGCTGCAGCAGCAGGCAAGCCAGCAGCTCCTGCAGCAGCAGCAGCTGCTGCTGCTTCCTCTAAAGGCTCAAGAAGCCTCAGTGCATGCAGCTGTCGCAGCGACTGCAGCAGCAGCTGCAGCAGCAACGGGAAGGATTGGCGTTTTAGGAGCAGCAAGAAGCCTAGGGCTTGCTGCTGCAGCTGCTGCTGCGGGTGCAGCAGCAGCAGCAGCAGCGCAGCACCAATCCCGCAACTCCACAGCGAGATGCTGCAGCTCTGCCTTATTAATAAGCAGCAGTACTCGCGCATTTCTACTGCCAGCTGCTGCTGCAGCAAACCTTCCTGCTGCTGCTGCTGCTGCTGCTGCTGCGAGAGGCATTGGGAGAGAAAAGCAGCAACGCGTTCATCCGCAACAGCAGCAAACAGCAAACTGGTGATACCCTCTTTCGTCCTGTCGAGATAATCTGCTGCTGCTGCTGCTGCAGCTGCTGATGTCCCTGCTTCTTGCTGCTGCTGCTGCTGCTGCTGCTGCTGCTGCTGCTGCTGCTGCTGCTGCTGCTGCTGGGGGTTTGTAATCGCAGCAAAGGCCTCAACAAGAGCGCGCTGCTCTGCTGCAGAATACTGATAAGGGTTTGCATGCGGCAGCAGCAACATCAACTCGCGCGGCAGCGCAGCAGCAGCAGCAGCAGCTGCTGCTGCTGCAGTAAACGGCTGCAAGGAAGCCTCCGCCCGTGCTGCAGCAACCGCAGCAGCAGCAGCAGCAGAAAGGCATAGCAACGCTATTTAAAGCAGTTTCAGGTGTACGTACACCTCATGAACGCCAAAATAGCAAACAAAGAGACAACGCAGCAGCAGCACAGCCAGCAGCAGCAGCAACAGCAGCAGCAGCAGCAGGAGACTCACCTAGCAGCAAGAGACACCTGAGGCTTGCTAGCAGCAAAAGAGGGTTGGCATCTGTCTCCATTACAGCAATACATAACATCGAAATGCGCTGCCGCAGCAACTCAGCCTCTCCCTGCAGCAGCAGCAGCAGCAGCAGCAGCAGCGGTTGTCGCCCCAGCAATGCAGTAGCAGCAGCAGCTGCAGTAGCAGCAGCAGATGCAGCAGCAGTAGAGCGCTCCCCAGGATTCGCGTCAAGTCTTGCAGCAGCAACGGCAGCAGCAGCTGCTGCACAGCACGAAGAAGAGCAGCAGCAGCGGTAGCTCCAGCAGCAGCACAAAGAGCAGCAGCAGCAGCAGCAGCAACAGCAGCATCAGAAACTGCAGCAGCAGCAGGAACTCACCAGGGCATCGGAGATTGCGGTAAACTGCGATTTTAGCTGCTCCAAAAGCTGTTGCTGCTGCTCACCTGCTGCTGCTGTTGCTGCTACTGCTGCTGCTGCACTTTGTCGGCGTTGTCTTTTGTTGCTGTGGTCTGCTGTTGCTTCCTCGGTCTGCTGCTCAGGATGCATATTCTCCTCTTCCTGCTGCTGCTGCTGCTGCTGCTGCTGCTGCTTGAGTTGCTGCAGCTGCTGCAGGGTGTCTAAACATTGCTGCTGCAGCAGCAGCAAGCCCCCCGTCTGCTGCTCGTACATAGCTAGGAGACATTGAATTGCAGCAATCACTGCACCACAAGCTGCAGCAGCAGCAGCAGCAGCAACAGCAACAGCACAGCACCTGTAAGGACGGGTGAAAGCAGCAGCAAAAACAGCAACAGCAACAGTAGAAACAGCAGCAGGAGCGATAGCAGCAGCAGCAGCAACAGTAACAGGGACTCAACTCACATGGGATTGAAGGCAGCACCTGCTGCTGCTGCTGCTGCTGTGGCTGCTGCTGCTGCTGCTCACGCTGCTGCGCCTCAGCAGCAATCATAACCCTCATATGCAGCACAGACATTGCTGCTTCAGCTGCATGCGCTAAGTTTGCTGCTGTTTTGCTGCTGCTGTTGCTGCTGGTGCTGCAGAACCTCGCGAAAGAAAAAAGGCGTCCTGCTGCTGCAGCAACAGCAGCATTTGCTGCAGCTGCCTTTGCTGCTGCTGCAGCAGTAGTGAGCAGCGGGTTAACCTGCAGCTGCTCCACTGCTGCTGCTTCTGCTGCTGCTGCTGCTGCAGTGCCGTCGGGGTGTACGAGCACCTCCGCTTTCAGTGCTGCTGCTGCTGCTGCTAGATCTGCAGCAAGGCGTGCACCGAGGCTTGCTGCTTCTGCTGCAGCAGCAGCAGGCAGCAGCAGCAAGAAGTTTCCTATACACCCCAGCACCGCCTCCTGTGCAGATAGACTCAGCGATTCGTTTGTTGCTGCTGTTCGCAGCAGCAGCAGCAGCTCTGCTGTTGCTGCTGGGCAGCTGCTGCTGCTGCAGGAGAGGAGGGCGCAGCTGCAGCTGCTCGCTGCACCTGCCTCATGCTGCTGCAGCAGAATCTGCTGCTGCTGCTGCTGCTTGTGCTTATGCTTTTGCTGCTGCTGCAGCTTCTCCATCAGCCACGAAGAAGCAGGGAGACCTGCTGCAGCAAGATGAGCAGCAAAACAAGGCGGAGGTGCGCTGCACCAGAAGACCAGCGTAAACAGCAGCACTTGCTGCTGCTGCTGCTGCTGCTGCTGTTGCTGCTGCTGCTGCTGTTGGCATTTCTTCGTCTGCAACAGCAAACAACAACATGTTGACGGCTCTGTGTTGCAGCAGCAGCAGCAACAGCCAAAAAAGCAGCAACTTCAGCGATAAAGCAGCAGCAGCAACAGCAACAGAGCCGGTACAAGCAGCAGCAGCAGCAACAGCAACAGCAACAGCACCAACAGCAGCAGAGTCTACCCACAATATGCTCATATAGTTGAGGTAGAGCCTCGAATACTCGCTGCACAAAATCAGTTGCCAGGCGCCTCTGCTGCTGCTGCTGCTGCTGCTGTGGCTGCTGTTGTTGTTGCTGCTGCTGCTGCAGCAGCGAGGGCCACGCAGCTGCAGCAACACGACTGCATATTGAAGACTTTGAGGGGCTGCAGCACAGCTGCAGTTGAGCAGGACAGAAACAGGTGTCGCTGCTGCTGAGTTGCTGCTGCTGATGATGAGTCCCCGTATGGCTGCTGCTGTGGCTGCTGTTGCTGCTGCTGTTGCTGCTGTCGTTGTTGCTGTTGCTGCAGCCCCACAAGCCGCTGCACCAGTTTAACTTCTTCATGGCGGCGCAGCAAAATGCAAGAAGAAGAGTTTGCTGCTCCTCGCTGAGGGCATCTTCATCGAGTTGCTGCTGCTGCTGCTGCTGCTGCTGCAGCAGCAGCAGCAGCAGATCCACCCTTCGAACTGAAGGAAGCAAATCCCAGAAGCCAATCACCACATTTGCTGCCAGTGAATATGCTAAGCAGGATTCGCTGCTGTCGCCGCTGCTGCTGCTGCTGCTGCTGCTGCTGCTGCTGATCTTGTTGCTGCTGCTGCCGCTGCTGCTGCTGCTGCTGAGGAAGTCCGTCTTAGGCATATATGCCACGCAGAAGTGCAGCAGCGCATGCAGCTCCGTTGTGTCGTTGCTGTTGCTGCTGCTGCTGTTGCTGCTGCTGCTGCGGTTCTTGCTGCAGCACAGGCTCGCAGCAGCAAACAAGGCGAGGGATAGAAGCCGCGCAGCAGCAGCAGCAGCAGCAGCAGCAGCACTACAAGCAATGTAGGCGGCAGTGACAGCAGCAGAACGGCTAACAGCAGCAGCAGCACTTTAGAGGCATACCAGCAGCAGCAGCAAAATAAGCAGCATCAGCAGCAGCAACAGCAGCAGAAGCACTTGCAGCAGCAGCACTTACGGGGCATAGCACCGCTCAGCAACAGCAGGAGGCAGCAGCAGCAAACCAACAACTGCTGCTGCTGCTTCTATTACTGCTGCATCAGTCGCCAGCCAAAAGACATCAAGCAGCTGCCGCACTGCTGCGTCTTGCAGCAGAGGCAGCGCTTGCTGCTGCTGCTGCTGCTGCTGCTGCTGCTGTTGCTGCGCTGCAGCAGCGGTTGCTGCTGCAAACGGCAGCAGACAACGCAGCGCTGCAGCAGCAAGAAGAGGGTTTGCTGCTGCTGTCTTCAGAACCACTAAGGGCAAAGCTGCCTCTACAAATTTGAAGCAGTCTTGAGCTGCTGCTGCTGATATTTGCTGCTGCTCATCTGCTGCTGCTGCTGCTGCTGCAGTATTGAGAGTATTCTGATTTGCTGCATCTAAGACTGCATGCGTAGCTAAGTGAAAAAGCCCCAATGCTGCTAAAGCTTCATCGCGCTGCTGCTGCAGCGGCTCGTGCTGCTGCTGCTGCTGCTGCTCGTGCTGTTGCTCTTGCTGCTGCAGCGCCGGCAGCAGCAGCAAAAATGTCTCCTCCCGCAGCACAAGCGAAGGAACAGCAAAGGGTAATCCAACCGCCTGAATGCAGCAGCAGCAGCAGCAGCAGCAGATATCAAAGCAGTTACAGCTGCAAGGAGAGCACTAGCAGCAAGAAGAGCAGCAGCAGCAACACCTAAAGCTGCAGCAGCGGTAGCAGCAAGAACAGCAGCAGCAGCAGCACTCACCAAAGCCTTGATAGCTTCGGCCCTCACATTAGGGCAGACATCATCAGCTCTTTGCTGCAGCAGCAACACTAGCTGCTGCAGCAGCTGCTGCTGCGCCGTCTCCTGCGCTTCCAGCTGCTGCAGCCGCAGCTGTACTGCTGCACCCACTATAGCTGTTGCTTCTTCTTCCTGCTGCTGCTGATGCTGCTGCTGCATGCGCCGTCGCCGTTGCTGTAGCTGCTGCTGCAGCAGCTGCTGCTGCTGCTGCACGCGGAAGCGCCGAGCCTCCCGCAGCAGATTTGCTGCTGCTGCTGCTGCGCCGCTCATAATGCCGACAGCTGCAGCAACAGCAGCAGCAGCAACAGCAACAACAGCATCAGCAACAGAATTCACAGCAGATAAAAGTTTGCTGGTGCTGCAGCAACACAAGACAGCAGCACGAACCAACGACAGCAGCAACAGCAGCAGCAGTAACAGCATCAGTAGAAGCAGCAGCAGCAACAGCAGCAGCAACAACAGCAACTGCAGCAGCAAAGGACCTGCAATAGTGGCAGCAAGCCTCAGACGCCTGGCTGGGGAGCAGGCGAGCAGCTGCAGCAGCTGCAGCAGCAACGCAAGACAGTTTGCTGCTGGTGCTGTTTGTTCTGCTGCTGCAGCTGCTGCTGCTCCTCCTGATTGAAGCGACACCTCCTCAGCAACAAAATGCAAAAATGAACGAAGCGTGTTGCAGCTGCTCACGCGGACAGAGTGCTGCTGCTGCTGCTGCTGCTGCTGTTGCTGCTGCTGCTGCTGAGGGTTTTTGCGGCGGCTCTTGAGGCCCTTAGAAGACTGCGAAAGCAGCAGATCTGTGAGCATGATGATGTCTTGCTGCTGCTGCTGCTGCTGCTGCTGCTGTCGCAGTCGCTGCCGAGAAGGGGCGCTGCTGCTGCCGCTGCTGCTGCTGCTGCTGCTGTTGCTGCTGCTGCTGCTTAGGAGACGCATGCAGAGTGCCGGCAGGGCTGTCTTCATCTCTAAACATATCGAAACCCTGCTTAAGCCAACAACCTGAAGAGAGACACAAACCCTAAACCCTAAACCCTAAACCCTAAACCCTTAACAGTATAGCGTGCGCTTAGCAGCAGCACCTGAGCAGCAGAAGCAGCAGCAGAAGCAGCAAATACCTTTGCAAGCAGAAGCAGCAACTGAGCTGTATGCATAGATAGGGTGCCTATGGCTTGCTGCAGTGCAGCATCTTCCGTTGCTGCTGCTGCTGTTGCTGTTGCTGCTGCTGCTGCTGTTGCTGCTGTTTGCAGCTGCCTCGAGAAGCTTCTTGCTGCTGCTTCAGGGGCCTTTAAGATAACATCGACGGATAACTCATCTTCTGCTGGCAGCAGCAGCAGCTGGTGCAGCTGCTGCTGCTGCTGCTGCTGCGGGTCACCCCGCTCTATAAGCTCATGGTGCTGCTGCTGCTGCTGCTGCTGCTGCTGCAGCTTGCCGCCTGTTGCTGCAGCAGCTTTTCTCTTTCTTCTTAGCAGAGAGACAACTGACAGTTTTTTTGTTGCGCTGTCTCCGTATGTTTCATCATCGCTGCTGTTATCAGGGCTGCTGCTGCTGCTGCTGCTGCTGCTGCTGTAGTCTTCTTCTTCGGTCTCCGACCCCTCGGAAGCCGCAGCAGCAGCAGCAGCAGCAGCAGCTGCTGCTGCTGCTGCTGAGGCTTTGCTGCTGCTGCCTGGGGGTCTCGCCAAGATGCGCCGCTTGCGCACTGCTGCAGGCTTTAAGAAGCCATCCTTATCTCTCTCATTTTGCTGCTGCTGCTGCTGCTGCTGCTGCTGCTGGTGAGAGAAGCTTCTTGACAGCCTAAGGGAACGGAGGCCTGCAGAAGCCGACATTTGACGCTGCTGCAGCCACAGCCTTAGCTGCTGCTGCTGCTGCTGCTGTTGCTGCTGCTGCTGTTGCTGCCGTTGGTGGTGCTGCCGTTGTTATTGCTGCTGCTGTTGCTGCTGCTGCTGCTGCTGCTGTGGAGTTTGTTGCTGTGCTTTGCCAGCGATGCTGCAGCAGCAACACGAACAGCAGCAGCAGCAGCAGCGACAGCTGCAGCAGCACGTGTTGCTGCTGCCTTTCGGGTTATTGTTATTGTTGTTGCTGCTGCTGCTAAACGTGCTGCCGCTGCGTCTGTTGCTTGTTTAGCTGCTGCTGCTGTTTTGTTGTTGCTGCTGCAGCTGTTGCAGCTGCTGCAGAAGTAGTCGCAGCCTGGCGGGGGTTCGGCGATGTCAGTGTCTGCGCAACCCAAACCCTAAACCCTAAACCCTAAACCCTAAACCCTAAACCCTGAAAAATAGATTGCATAAGGAAGATATGAGAAGAAGAAGAGATAAACAAACAAACACCAACCGCAACCCTCGGGGGTTGGTTGTGTTGTCGGCGGTGGAGGGCCCCCAAACCCTAAACCCTAAACCCTAAACCCTAAACCCTAAACCCTAAACCCTTATATAGCGTAGAACGCAACACTAACCGAAATCAGCAAATTAAAATGGTGCAAACTTCAACTAAACTTTGTTATTGATTTAGGGGTTTAGGGTTTAGGGTTTACAGTTTAGGGTTTATGGATGCAGCAGCAAGAGCGGACCCGCAGCAGATCGTGCTGCTGCTGCTGCTGCTGCTGCTGCTGCTGCTGCTTTTGCTGCTGCGGCTGCTGCTGCTGCTGCTGCATGCAGCAACAGCTTAAAGAAATACTTTTTCCTTTTTTGTTTGAATTACTACAGCTGCAAAACTGTGCAGTGTCTGTCTCTAGCGTCTAGGGTTTAGGGTTTAGGGTTTAGGGTTTAGGGTTTAGGGTTTAAGGGATGGCAGACGACGAGTTCCCCCTCGAGGGGAGTCTACGCGAGTTAATAGAAACCCCTTCTTTGAAATGGATCTTCGTTGGTAGGTTTTAGGGTTTAGGGTTTAGGGTTTAGGGTTTGTGGCGCGGGGGTTGCATCTGGGTGTACGCCGACTCTCCTTGGGGCCCAAGGGTTTAGGGTTTAGGGTTTAGGGTTTAGGGTTTAGGGTTTGTGCGTTGCAGGGGGAAAGGGCGGCGTTGGGAAGACAACAACAAGCTGCGCCATTGCAACCAAGTTGGCTGAAACCCGCGAATCTGTAGGGTTTAGGGTTTAGGGTTTAGGGTTTAGGGTTTAGGGTTTAGGGTTTTGTTTGTTGGTGTTCGAGGGTTTTGGCTTTAATTTTCTCTAAACCCCAAATCTTCCCGTCTGTTGCCTCGTGCACTCTCTGCTTCACTCCCTGTTTAGGGTTTAGGGTTTAGGGTTTAGGGTTTAGGGTGTCTGTACGCCTCAGGTGCTGCTGCTATCGACGGACCCCGCTCATAACCTCAGCGACGCCTTAACCCAAAAATTTAGCAGCACTCCTTCTCTAGTCAATGGTTATAAAAACCTCTATGCTATGGTAAACCCTAAACCCTAAACCCTAAACCCTAAACCCTAAGGCAGTCTCTAGTCAGTGGGTATAAGAACCTCCTGAAGCCTAAACCCTAAACCCTAAAGCAGTACTTAATGAATGGGTATAAAAGCCTCTATGCGATATTAAACCCTAAACCCTAAACCCTAACCCTAACCCCACACCCTAAACCCTAAACCCAAACCCTAACCCCACATCCTAAACCCTAAACCCTAAGCCCTAGTTTTGTTTGATTTGAGTTATAGGAGATAGACTCAAGAGCTGAAGAGACAGCAGGGTTTAAATCTGCTGGAGATAAAGACACGAAGGACTTAATGCAGTTCCTACCGGAGCTAATTAATGCCGTCCCAGGCATTGATGAAGCCCTCTCCTTCGCTGAGCTCATGCAGTAGGGTTTAGGGTTTAGGGTTTAGGGTTTAGGGTTTAGGGTTTGCTGTCTTCTCAGTGGTGTCGTCGCTCGTGTTCGCTTCTACGACTTTAGGGTTTAGGGTTTAGGGTTTAGGGTTTTTTGGGTTTAAATGGCTTCCGGTGCACAGCATGTGCTGGCTTAGTTAATATCTAGGGTTTAGGGTTTAGGGTTTAGGGTTTAGGGTTTATGATTTACGGTTTGGGGTTTAGGGTTTACGATTTGGGGTCTATGGTTTAGGTTTTAGGGTTTAGCGTATAGGGTAAAAGGAGGTTGAGGGTTTAGGGTTGAAGGGTGTTGAGGGTTTAGGGTTTAGGGTTTAGGGTTTAGGGTTTGTGTGGCGGTCAGGTCGGTGCAGACGATGCGTTATTCAACAATAGTTTTTGATACAGCGCCTACAGGACATACGCTGAGGTTATTAGGGTTCCCAGCTGTTATTGAGAAGGGTTTAAAGAAGATAGGAGACATAAGCGAGGGTTTTGCTGCTGCTCTTGATATCTTCTCGTCTCTCTCTTCAGGACAACATGCTAACCCTCAAGAGGTGCTGCTGCTGCTGCTGCTGTTGCAGCTGCTGCTGCTGTTGCTGCTGATGTTGCTGCTGTTGCTGCTGGTGTTGCTGCTGGTGTTGCTGCTGATGTTGCTGCTGCTGCTGCTGTTGCTGCTGCTGCTGTTGCTGCTGCTGCTCAGGGTGTTGCTGTTGCTGCTGCTGCTTTTTGTGTGGTGTTGCTGTCTTCATTCTGCTGCCGATGATACTCCGTTTATGTTGCTGCTGCTCGTTAATGCTGCTGCTGCTGCTGCTGCTTGCTTCTTGCTGCTGCTGCTGCTTGCTTCTTGCTGCTGCTGCTGCTCTGCGTGAAGTATAGAGTGCAGCACGAGAGCCAAACCCTAAACCCTAATGCGTTGCATTTGCTTCTGCAGCTAACAAACAAACTTCATCATCTCCGCGCTGTCACCACTTCTGTCCGCGAAGCCTTTCAAGATGCGGTGCGATAATTAGGGTTTAGGGTTTAGGGTTTAGGGTTTAGGGTTTGAAGTTTAATGTCAAGGGTCTGGAGTTGAGCACTTAGGGTTTATGGTTTGGGGTTTATGATTTATGGCTTATGGTTTGTGTTTTAGGGTTTAGGGTTTAGGGTTTAGGGTTTAGGGTTTAGGGTTTAGGGTTTAGCTGTCTCTGTTTTTAATTTTATTTTCCTTTGATAGTTTCATTTGTATCTGTCTGCTGCTATAATTTAAATCCTCTAATAAATAAATAAATAAATAAATATAATTAAATAAATAATAATAAATTAATTATATTTATTTATTTATTTATTTATTTATTTATTTATTTATTTATTTGCTGCAGACACACACAACCTTCGTCTGCGTCTGCATCCCTGAGTTTCTGTCTTTGTTTGAAACTGAACGGCTAATTCAGCAGCTCGCAAAACAAAAAATAGATTGCAGCAATATTGTTGTTAATCAGGTCTTAATGCCTATAGGTTCGTCTCTAGGGTTTAGGGTTTAGGGTTTAGGGTTTAGGCTTTAGGGTTTGTGGTTTAGGGGGTTGTTAATCAGGTCTTAATGCCTATATGTTCGTCTCCACGGTTTAGGGTTTAGGGTTTAGGGGGTTGTTAATCAGGTCTTAATGCCTGTAGGTTTTAGGGTTTAGGGTTTAAAGTTTAGGGTTTAGGGTTTAGGGTTTAGGGGTTAGGGTTAGGATATGGGGATTTAGGTCTTTGCTTAGGGTTTAGGGTTTAGGGTTTAGGGTTTAGAGTTTGCGGGTTAGGGTCTGTGTTTAGGGTTTAGAGTCTGAGGTTCAGGGAAAAGAGTTGCGGGTTTATTCTTTTTCGTTTAGGGTTTAGGGTTTAGGGTTTAGGGTTTAGGGTTTAAGCTTTACGGTTTAGGGTTTGGGATTTAGGGTTTAGGGTTTAGGGTTTAGGGTTTAGGGTTTAGGGTTTGTGCGTAGGGAATTGCGACGAGGAGGGCTATCCGTGTGTCTCTCCATCTCTAGCAGCAGCACTTGAGCAGCAGCAATCACAGCCTCTATCTACGAAGCTGCTGCTGCAGCCAGCAGCAGCAAGAAGACCTGAAGAGACATCCGAAGAGGAAGCAGCAAGGCTGCGCGAGTTCGTGCTGCAGCTGCAGCATCGAGTAAATACAATTTGCTGCTGCTGCTCTTGCCGCTGCTGCTGCTCGTGCTGCTGCTGTTGTTTTTGCCGCTGCTGCTCTTGCTGCTGCTGCTGTTTTTGCCGCTGCTGCTCTTGCTGCTGCTGCTGCAGGTGTTTGTGTACGTGAAGTGCTGCTGTTTCTGCTGCTGCTGCTGTCTTGCAGCTGCTCCTCTATAGGCAGCTGCAGCAGCTGCTGCTGGTGTATGTGCATCTGCTGCTTCTATCTGTGCTGCTGCTGCTCCTGCTGCAGCTGCTGCTTGTTGAACAATCATATGCAGCAAGGCGGCGCATGCAATCGAAGTATTTGGTGCAAATAAAAGAATTATACACCTACGACTTCCACGTTGGTACGCTGAGGGTTTAGGGTTTAAGGTTTACGGTTTAGGGTTTAGGGTTTAGGGTTTAGGGTTTGTTATTCGTGGACTGCAGTTTAGAGTTTTCGTTTTAGGGATGAAGATTTTTCATCTGGGGTTGATTGCCTAGTGGTTAGGGTTTAGGGTTTGGGCCTTAGGGTTTAGGGTTTAGGGTTTTGGGTTTAGGGTTTAGGGTTTAGGGTTTGGGTGCAGCTTGTGTAGGGCAGCAATCGGATGAAATCCGCGGCGTCGCCAAATTAAAATCTTTAGGCAATCTCCTCTGTCAAGAAACCCCTATTCCTATTTTGCAGTAGGGTTTAGGGTTTAGGGTTTAGGGTGTAGGGTTTAGGGTTTAGGGTTTAGGGGGTGGGTTCAAGCTGAGGAGGCTGTCGCGCTGCTCAGCAAACCACCGGATGCAGCTGTTGCAGCAACTGCTGCAGCAGCAGCTGCTGCTGCATCAACTGCTGCAGCAAAATCTGCTGCAGCTGCTACATTTGCTGCGGCAGCTGCTTTTGATTGCTGCTGCTGTAGCAGCAGCTGCTGCTCCTGCAGCTACTTTTGCTGCAGCTGCTGGTGCTGCAGCTGCGGGTGCTGCGGCAGCTGCTGCTGGTGCTGCAGCAGCTGCTGCAGATTTTAGCGATTGCTGCGGTTGATGGCGCAACTGCTGCTGCAGCAGCAACAACAAATTCAAATTAACTGTTTGGTTTTGCCCGGGGTTTAGGGTTTAGGGTTTAGGGTTTAGGGTTTAGGGTTTAGGGTTTAGGGTTTAGGGTTTAGAGCGTGACGAAGTAGAGAAGTCCTTGGAGGGGTGAACCCCCTCTTATTATTCAACCTGCTGATTTAGGGTTTAGGGTTTAGGGTTTAGGGTTTAGGGTTTAGTGTGTAGCGGGTTCCAGGGAAAGGCTGTAGGTCTAGACGCGAGGCTAACCGTACTTAGGGTTTAGGGTTTAGGGTTTAGGGTTTAGGGTTGC